AGGGAAGAGTTGAAGAGAAGCTGGAAAAGAAAAAGAAAAGAAAAAGAGTTTTGCGGCATGGAATAGATGATGGCGGGGTTGGGGGATGTATAGCTGCGCGCTTGAAAAGACAAATTGTGATGTCACGTATTTAATAAGTTCATGGATATTGGGTGAGGAGTGCTTCTCTCCATCCATTTAATCAGCATTGCTTCCCAATGAAGATTTCTCCCTTTCACTCCTTCCCTTCGCCTCCCGTCCGTGCTTCAGCTCACATGCTAACAGCCCCTCTAATTGTTTCTCAGCTCATTAGCATGCGGATGCTTTAATAGTAATTAATCCGTCATTTGTCGACACGCAAACCGGGGCCGCTGAGGTTTCTCCCGAACTGTTTCAACTACACTCGTAATGCACTCGTCAATGGAGAGTGTAACCTGCTAATTTAGCTCATCACAGTTAATTGGTTGTTAAGTGCCTTTACAGTAATTACCAAGCAGGCAGAGGGATTTAGGTTGTCAGAAGGAAAGGGGACAACAATGACTGGCCCCTCGCCTGCCTTAATGGCTTTTATATGAACTTTGGAAAAGTGGGATAAATGACTAAACACTGACCCGCTTCGGTTTTCTGTCTGATCACTTCTCCTTCCTCCTGTGCGCTGTCCCTTCCTGCGATGCCGCCTCACTGTGTCTTTCTCCAGATATTAACTCATTAAGTTTTTTTTCATTATTTTTAATAAAAGATGAGTTATGGCTTCAGCCTCACTGAGGCAACATCCCCCAACCTCCTCCTCCTGGTCTTGCTCCCTCCTCCTTCATCCATTTATACCTCTTCTCAGCTGACCGCTTATCTCGCCTTCTTCGTCGGCCATATTGTGCCTCCGCCAAATCCGTTTGACCCCTCAACTGTGGCTAGTGACCCCTGCGTCGCTGATTTCAACCTTCTGTCCATCTTCTTTTGCGTTCACCCCTCTCGACCATATCGATCAATCATCTCGATTCCTCATAGCTCTGAGAAGTGTTTGGTTGGCATTCATAAGACTTATGATTCATGATGCTCTTCCTGTGTGTGCCCGTGTGTCTGCGTGCATGCACGGGTGTGTCCGTGCACGTTTGCATGCCTGTGTTTGTGTGTGTGTGTGTGTGTGTGTGTGTGTGTGTGTGTGTGTGTGTGTGTGTGTGTGTGTGTGTGCGCGTGTGTGTGCGCGTGTGTGTGTGTCTGTAAAAGGAAGGAAGAAAGAAGAGGAGAAAAGGAGGAGGGCTTGTCGATGACACCGTTGAATAATGACAATATTTATGATTGATAGCTTCTATAGAGATATTTATATATAAGTGTGTGTTTGTGACTGCAAGGCTTATTTTTTCCCCTACACCCAGCTCCCTCACATCAACGTTTTGTCTAAAAAGCAATGATGAATGGTTTTCATGTAGTGTGAGCAGTCACTTTGGCCATCGTTGCAAACGTGACAGAGGAACGGATGTCGTGAGTGACCAACGGAGCTAAGCGTGATGTACGGCGCTGGACGTGTCGGCGCTCTTAAAGATGAAAGCATCATAAATAAAATGTGGTCCCTGCCCGTTGAAGAATTTGCGAAACCTTTCCGCGCACGTCAACCGCATCGGTTTTTAAGATGCGAAAGCAGCGTATAAAGCGATTTTTCCTGAGTGTTTGCCATTTTTACCACGCAGACCCTTTTCAAGGCACTTACCCGGCTGCATTTGTAGTGGTTACTTTTTATTGTGGTTGTAAAATATCTTCTGTCTTGCTTCCCACTTGATTAGGTACACCATTGCAATCAAATGCAACTGCTCAGAAGAAAAATATACTTTTGAGCTATTTTGTTGAGGGCACTATTGTGCGTTCATGTGAGTTTTCACCCATGTGTTGTGTTTACTATGTGAGACCACATTTGTGGTCCAGGAGAACGTTTGTGTAATTATTTTTAGAAATACATTTTAAAAGGTTATTTAGCATTTTAATGTCCCGGGTTTTGCTGCAAATGACACATTCTCCTGTAAAACATGCTTCCCTGGTAAATGTGATTTAAAGTCTAGCTGTAGATAGAGAGGTTTTAATTTGACCATTTTCATGAGTAAATCTTACCTGGTTGCTGATTTCTAGTGGATGCAAACTGAGCCGAGTCTTGGAGTGGTTGTGCAGTAAAAATCATGAAATTGATGGATGTGAAAAATGACTCTTTTTACAATCTGGGTAATAAATGGAGTTGTAATTTAAAGAGATTAATCAGCCGGGAGGAAGATGTGCTGTGGAAAAAAAATATGTAAAGATTCTCGCTAACTTTTTAAATGTAGCACAGGAGAAATGATTGGATATAGAACCCCCCCCCCTTTTCTTTTTTAGATATTGAAGCCTTATCCATTCATAGTAACACAAACTGAAATAGTTGTATATTTATTCTTTTTAAAAAGTTATCACATGGACACAGTTATTCACAGTTTGCACTTTAAATTATTAACTCCAGTCCTTTCATTTCTCTTGACCGTCCATGAGATTTTGGCTGGAGACCGCCTCCTTCCCTGTTAAATTCAATGAAACAAAAAACATACGAAGACCTTAGCGCAGTGATTCTTAACCTTAGCGCAGTGGTTCTTAACCTTCTTAGCATACCGAACCCAACCAGTGAATACGCATATTCACCGAACCCTTCATTAGTGAAAAATAAATATATTTTTTACAAATTCAAAATATAAAAACGGCATTGATTAAAAACAGAAAAAAGTAAATAAAATTTCAACGGATAGTATACTTTTTTTTCCAATTGAATGACGTACTATCACGACAGTCACACGTTGACTACGAAGCAAACTAAATTTCCCACAGCACTGATTGGACAAGCAATGTAATGTGGTCATCTGCAGCCAGTGATGGCCAAGGGGGCATGTCATAACTAATTGACATGTTGAGTCGGGTGTGTCTTAACCTCCTTGGCAGAGGCTCCGTCGAACCCCTGAGACCGATTCACCGAAACCGTAGGGTTCGATCGAACCCAGGTTAAGAACCACTGCCTTAGCGGATCTGCAAGAAAAATCAGAGCTCAGTGAGGATCGTTTGGTAGGCTATGCAAATGTTTTTCTTCTGTATGCCCCCAAGAGTGCAGTGGCCTCTCTAATTGTTGCCACTGAAATAGGAGAGAAGATGCTGCGTGAGAGATTTGAACAAAGAAGGGGAGATCCTATGTGACTTCCATCCTGTGAGAAATCTCTGATCTGATAAAAACACGATTAAACTCCCATGAGCACCACAAGAAAGCAGTTACTGCTCATCATCTGTGCACAATGGCGTGGTTCTCCTGCTAGAACGTTGTCCCATTTCCGCGGAGGGCTTCTGGTTCTCAGCCAGAGTGACCATCAGGTTCTTGTTTTGTTCTCACACTCTGGCTCCTCTCACCTGATTACTTTATTTGTCAGCTCTGGAAAGACTTTGATACCTTTTATTCCGATTCTTTTCCAATAATTAAATTTAACAAACGTACAATATGTAGAAACATACAAAGACAAGACAAATGGAGCACCTCTATTTTCAGTGTGACAACAGGTTACTGTATGAATACTTGTCTTTGTCAAATTTCATTTTAATGCATTTCCAATAATATCTAAAACTATGTTCATTTTTCGCATGGGACAAACATAGCCTAAAGCAGGGGTGCCCATTACGTCGATCCTGATCTACCGGTAGATCTAGGACTCGTCCCAATTAGATCCGAAAGGTGTAGAGGAGAAAAAAAAATAAACATTTGTGTGTCTTTGTACGTTAGTAATATATTTTTTGTGTTAATGCACACTGCACCCTAATCATCCTATCAGTCTCATTTTCCCAAAGAAAGATTTTAAAAATAAAATAAAGCATATAAATCTTTAACCTACGGTGGCGCGTGACTACGTCAGCGGAAGTTGTTAACGCTCAGCAGTCTGCAATTGCAGCTTGTGATCAGAGCTGTTGCGCTATGTCTTTGATTGTCATTATTCTCATTCAGAGTTTTCTTCGTGTACAATTCACCGAGGGCACGGGCAAAGAATAGGAATCTTGAGAGCTAAGGGAAGCAAGCACTTTAAAACGGTACGTGTGAGCTACGATAGTCAACAGGCTGCAAAAGTGCAACGCTCCGTGTTTGGCTTCTCATCATGCCGCGCGCGCGCGTGTGTGTGTGTGTGTGTAAGGGGCGATCCGGGGAGGGTGGTTGAAAGAAAAGTAGATCTTCGGTCCAAAAAGTTTGGGCACCCCTGGCCTAAAGTAAGTAAAAATATGTGAAGCGGTTTGGAAAGCAAATGAATTCAAAGCTGTAAAGTAGAGCATTTATATGAAGTGCACCAAACAAACCTCAAATAACAGTAGTAGTAAGTATTTCTCATATCTTCTTATTTGAATGCTTCAAAATTATTGTCTCTTATTTTTGACAGTTTGCGTACATTTGCTAACATCCTCGCCGAAATAAATGTATACATGCATTTACAATACATTCCATGCTACATATTCCAATCCAGCAGACTTGAGACTGTACATCAAGTGATGTTGAGGTCTCCTCTGGAGCAATGCTCTGATTTAGTTCTGTACAAAGTCCCAATCAGGATTGTGATACTTGATGCTACCACAAGAGAGCGCACTTGTCTTAAACCTCCAGATGCACCACTTGTGCTTCATGGCCAGGATGCTGCCAGACATGTTAAGTCCTCCAGAGTGTGCCGGAAGACTCTTTTTGGCCTTCGTTTCCATGTTGTAGTAACAGTGCTTGTCCAATGCAGAGGGGATTGAGTATGCGTTGATGATTCTTGTGTGAGGAGAGGCGGAGCTGCAGAGGTCTTGCATTATTTTACATTGAGACTATGCTATGGTGTGTGCTAACAGGAGGAAAGACACCAACAGCAGACTGTAAAAACCAGGCAGGTATTTTGGTACACACACACACACACACACACACAGACAACAGAAAAAAAAATACCTCAATTTACAGCAAGTTTGATTGATGTTTTGCGTATTACATTTATTCATGAAAAAACATCTTCCAGTATGTAGTCTCTGATGTTGCAGTGACTCATTCGCCTGACATCTGTGTAGGCAGCATGCGTTCAGTGACTGTGAATGTGAGTGTAGGTGGTAGTCTGTCTCTATAATGTGCCATGTCATTGACTGGCGGCCAGTCCAGGGGTGAATTAGCTTCATGGACCTCAGCTTCCTATAAGCCTCAAGAGGTGTGATGGATGGATGGATCCCTCGGTATGATACAGTTCTTCACCACTGCAAACGTAACCTATACACTAATAGTCATTATTAAATTGATACATTTTTGAATATGACAAAACTGGTTTTGTATTGGGTCTTATTGGATTAGTAAGATTTAGCTAATGAAGGTGCAGCACACCGTGTGGGTGTGTGCATGCGTGTTTATGTCTGTCACTTTATGATTTCTGATGTAGGTGGAAATGTTTCACATTTTATTGCTTTAAAACTAAAACACAAATCACATGGTCAACATGTTGCACACATTGTCTTAGCAACGTAACAATAGCAGGGTGTGAAACTGTTGGTAAAGTATCTCTGACTGTGCTGAGCGCAGACATCTGAATGTGTACTTACTGTACATCAGGTCAGTGCACTTCAATAGTTTTACAATGGCTGCCTCCTCTTGGTAACCTCAGCAGGAAAAAGGCTTCTGACCTGAGCTCGCCAACAACAATGAAAGGTGATGAAATGTACAGTATATTATGATTGACATTGTGTGATTTAAATATAAAAACATATGTATTGCTGGGGACTTAGCATGAGGCGGTGACGATCAACTCTATCTGCATTATAGATAGAATATTACTTTACCTTTTAACTGTCATTGACATCTGTAGCAGTTGTGCCGTTCGCAATTTGGGTCATGGTTGTGTTCGTCCGGCTATGTGACTCTTGTAGCATAAAGTTCTGACTTGTTTGACCCGCCCTGCAGCTGGAAGGTGTGTGTCCACACAGAAGCGTCACCTCCATGAGCTGTTGTCTGCCTAAAATAGGTGAACATCAAACATAGATGGTATTGAGTTTTAATGGGATCTGACAACTCACGGAAGGTAGAAAGTAGAGTTGTCCTGATCATGTGATCTGAAATTAGGGCCGATCACTCAGTTTTCAGCTGGTCGCTACAACAGTCGATGACTGGTGTCCAAATTCACATTGTGGGTCCTCTGAAGGCCGCATGGCTTCACTGCCGGCATGACTCGACCTCAAGTGGGCTCCAAATTCAGTTTGAGCCTGTCCAAATTCGCCACTGTTTATGCAGTCCACAGAGACTACATGAGGATGAGCCTTTGAAGGCATCGAAGGACCCAACCTTTGAATTGTCTTTCTAGAACTCGGAAACCATGTGCGGTTGAGTAGCGCCGGAAGTGATGTCATGCAGCTGAAAAATGTGGCCTTCGGAGGATGCAGCCTGTGAATTTGGACACAGCCTGTGTGTCGGCTTGGGAGCTGCAGTACTTTTGTGTTCTGAAGGGCCACAAAATTTCATACTCCCATGTAGCTGATTATGGAAAAGGGGTACAGTGTGAGATGTGGAAACATTTTGCTAACACATCCAACAGGGCAAGCTGAAAGAGACTAAAAACTAAACTAAGTCTGCATAGCCGCACAGATCACAGGGTGGAAAATTATGGACAAAAATCTTATTGGGCCAGATCTTCAGAGTCCAGATCAACAAGTCACCAAATGCGACACATTTAAACGATTTACTTCCAATTAGAAGACTAATGAGTGTGAATTTAGTTTGTGACAAGCAAACACGTGCCCGACAGATTACTTTTGATGAGTCAATCAATCAATAGTGCTGTTTTTAGATGAGCGCAGTCACTCAACCACCAAAAAAAAAAAACACAGCTGCATTGAGTCACACACCTTCAATTAACACACATGCATTTAAATAACTAAATCTATTTTTTACGGAGAAAAAATTAAATGCGCTCTTCAAAATGGACTGGCCGAAGTATTGCATGGGCCTAAATTCTAGTGATGTGTCGTTCGCGAACGAGCCGGCTCTTAGAGCCGGCTCTTTGAAGTGAACGACATGAGCCGGCTCCTAAGAGGGAGCCGCTTTAATGGGAGCCGACTTTTTTTTTTCCTCCTGTTTTTTCCCCCTTTCGGTTAAAGCCGCACGTGATTGGTCAAGATCCGTGGTAGAAGAGGGAGGAGAGGGTTACACACGCACACACATGCACGCACAC